CCGCCCCGCCCCTGGCTCGCGCCCGCGGGTGCAAGTCTCACGCACTGCCCCGGCAGGCCGGTGCTTTCCGACAGGCGAGGACCCCGCCTCGTCTTTCTCTCTCCCGCAGAAAGGCTGTGGTTTGCAGCCTATCCACTGTGAAAGTCCTCTGGGGAAATCCCCAGGACCCCGTGGGGCTCCGCTGCCCAGGCTGGGTCCCAAAGCCGAGTGCCCTGCGTGAGGCCAGAGCTGCGGGAGGGGCCTGGAGGATGACATCGTCCAGTAAGAATGACATCGGCTTTTTAAAAAACTCTCTCACGTGCCGGGCATTTGTCGAACAGCCATCGAGAAGGGTGGCTACTTATTCCAGCAATGCAGGGGTTATTCCAGATGTTTCTGGACACTTGTGGAGCTGCAAAATTTCCCCAGTTGGTATGGGAATGACGTCTTGGGTGTGGCGATCAATTCTCATTCCTCACAGAACCAAAAGGGTGGAAAATATGAGTAAAACACTTCGGATAAAAGATAGTCTGACCAAGTCACCAGTCACAATGCCAGAAAGGCCACACCACAGCCCCGGAAGGACGGGGGTCAGCCCCAAGGAGAGACACTGAGGACAGTAGACGAGAAGCACACAGGGAAGTAGGTTCCTGGAAATGAAGAGGAAGTAAATAGGATCAAGGAAGCTTAACTAAACCTGGGAATAGAAACTGAAATCTTTTTTAAAAGATGCGGGAAGGGAAGGAGGTGTAAATAACCAAAAACCTTCACGTGAAATATTAAATCCACCATGATTTTCTTCATTCCGATTTTTATAATTCCCAATTTTCTTAAATGACTGTGGCCATTGAAAGACTACGATACTAATAAAAGTTCGGTTTGTTAAGTTTGGGCAGCATTATCAATCAGTTGAGGCCACCCAGGGCCACGCTGGGAGAGAGTGCTGGGGAGAATCCGGTGAAGACTTCAGGAGCAAATGAGTGCTGACGGCGCGTCTTTCTTCTGTGGATCCACACACTAGCCTGCTGGTTGGCAGGTGAGCATTCAAGCATCATGCCGCCAGAGCCGGATCCTACTGAATTACATTTACAAAGACACATTCACAGGCAGGGGCTTAGGACAGAATGATATCTTGTGAGGGGACACAATCCAACACCTTACCAGGTGATCTTCTAATCCTGCTTCCATCTAGCCCCGTCACCAGCCAGGACAAGGCTTCCTTGAGCAAAATGCAAACCTTTCCCTCTTCAGGCTTGAGCCCCTCAAGACTCGCCCTTTCGTTCAAGTTCTAACAGCTTTATCGACATTGAATTAACATTTTGTACAATCCCAAGGCTTAAATAAATTAAAGGAAGTTGTGCACTCACCACCACAATCCAATTTGGACCATCCCACAGGCTCTTTCTTAGGGGGGCTGTGTTGGGCCCGGGGGCCGCAGGAAAACAGCTAGCCCCCAGAGTGTGGTTCAGACCCTGGCAGGAGGTCACCACCCTCGGGGCAAAGGGAAGAGGCAGGGTCAGCTCTGTCCGAAGTCTCTTCCATGCTCAAGGCTGGGCTTGGAGGATGGGGGTTCTTGTGCAAGGCCAGCGCACGGATGAACAAAACAATGGCCCGCTTCAAGGCAAAGAGGCCGCGGAGGAGTTTGGGAGGTCCCAAAGAGACAATCTTGAAAGACTTTCTTGGAGGACACAGGATGATCCCGCGAACGTATGTTGAAGAAATGGGAAGACGCCAGGAATTGGCGTCCATGAGAAAAGCCCAGGAACGCTGTGCTCGGGGATTTTCCCATCGCAGCAATGCACCTGCTCACCCTTCAGGGGAGCAAAGGCTGGGGCACAGCATGTCATTGGGTGAGGACATCTAGAGAGGCAATAACGAGATGCGTTTCTTGGGGTGATGGAAGGGGCGATTGGGCGGGATATGGGGAGGTAATGAGGACAAGAGAGAAGAAAATATTCCAAACTGATTGTAGGGAGGATTGCACAACTTGATGGCGATGGAACTGTATTAATACGTGACTTATGTGCCAATAAAACTATTTAATAAAAAAAGAATTTCATTGGGAAATTTACCCCGCCACCAGCCTACAGCCCTGATCTGGCCCCTCCAAGCTGCTTCGCCCCCCTCCCCAACCCAAAGAGCATTAAAGAGGAAGGTGATTGGCTCTGCTCTTGGAGCCAGGCCTGGGCAAGGGGCACAGGTGCCACGTCTAGAGAGAGAGAGAGGGCGGGGCAGAGGAGAGAAGGTAGTGAGAAGCAGCCCCTGCCCCGCCCCCAAACAACGCAAGCAGCAGAGCAAGAAGGGAATGAAGGCGACAAGGCTTCCAAGCAGAAGCTGAAAGAAAAGCCGGAGAAACTGGAGCAGGGAAAAGCGAAGGCCGCGGGGAAGGGCCTGCTGGCCCCGGGTCACACGATGAAGGCTGGCAAAAAATAAAGGGCCCTCTTTGAGGCCGCAGTGACCCTGGGTTCCATTTCTGTGTCAACACCGGACTCCCTGCTTTACCATCTGTGACCACCTATAAAACCAAGACTCCCTTCCAATGAGCCAATGCCTGTTCACAGAGACCCTGCAAGGACAGGGTAGAACTGTCCGGGCCAGTCTCAGAGACTGGACTCTTCACGGGAGTAGAAAGCCCGCCTCTCTCCCAAGCAGCGGCTGGTGGCTTCCCTGTGGACTGCAGCCCAACGTAACCACTCCGTCCACCACCAGGGCGCCCATAGTTAGAATGAAGCTTGTCTTGGAGTGGGTTGCATGTGTACGAATAAACATTTGCGGGGGCGGGGGGGTGGTGGTGGTGAGGAAGAGTTCCTTCAAGGTTGCAAAACTGCTGTTTAAATCCGAGAGCACGGATTTCTTCGGGGAAGGGTTAGCGAGGGACGCTGCCTCAGAAGGGCGCCCATTCCAAAGTCTAGGCACTGTGTCCACCATGTAGTCCGTGTTCTGTTGTACACTGTTGGACTCACCCTGAGGGGTGGGGGGCTGGCTGGGGCTCAGGAACCAGACTGTGGGAGGCAGACCAGGGGTTTCTAAAGGGGCATGAACGGGAAGAAAAGGGCAGGTCCCCTCCCCAGCTGCTCTTTAATGGTCCAGCTCCACAGGGGCTCTGGCCCACGCCCCTTCCCTTCCCTTCCTGGGCCTCAGCAGGAACCCGCTTCAAAGAGCCCTGCAGGCCTCTCACCATCGGTCCACTCAGAAGTGTCCACCACAGGGCCACTCTTTAGAGAATTCACCTTTTCTTCACGTGGCTCTCGTTTTGGGGTTCTCAAAGGATCTCAGACGCTCCCAGGACAATGAAGGGGACAGGGATGAAAGGGCATTGTCTCCTCCGCTTTATTGGCTGAGGACAACTTGTTGAGGGCGGGTCTCCCAGTGCTGTACGTGTACAAGGGGGGCTTCCAAAAGTTTGTGAGGAAATGGAATTAAAAGACTTTTAGCAACATGTTTACAGATCATGACCTTTTTTATCTGTTTGCTTGTTGCTTTTTATCTTCAATTTGATGGCTGACAGAGTAGATCATGAGTTTTACATTCAGCAATTCATACACATTTTATCTCAACTCAACCATGCCGTCTCTTCAATGTACCTACCCTTATCCCACCTCCTGCTTCCTACTTCCAGCCCGCCTCCTTTCCTGAGCCTTTGAGCGTTGTCCTTGGGTAAATGCTATCCTTTTTGTTGGAAATGCTTGATGATTCTCATGGGGCCAGTGTAGTTCTAGACTCAGAGGGTGACTGAGGCCCACAATCTTGGTGGTCCCAGCAAGCCTGGCCTCTTTTATGATTTTGAGTTCTGGTCTACATTTTCCTCCCACTCGGTCCCCAACCCTCTAACGTGATCCCTTCCAGAGCAGCTGGCCGTGGTAGCCGGGCACCATCTAGTTCTCTGGTCTCAGGGTTGGACATGGATGCTCGTTTGTGTTTCATGGGCTCTCTGAAGGCCCTCGTTGGTGTCTGTCACCTGAATCAGGATTTTCTTCTTCTTCTTCTTTAGAGTGTATTTAACTTCTGGCTGTTGGGCATATCCACAGCCAAACATGCACCAGTCCCAGTTTCTACATGTACCACGCTCTCACGCTGCTCCTGCTCTCCCTCACTAACAAGCACGTGGCCCTGAAGCTCCGCATCTAAGACTTCAAGTTGCTGTCGTCAACTTGCTACCATGCACGTGGCTCTTCAAAGAGCATAATACTCAAGGCAGACCTTTGACAAAATGAGTTAAGTTAAAGTGTTGTTTGGTTTTAAGATGACTTCACAGAATACTTTGGTTTGAAAGTTAAAGACCATCTCTCGGGATAATAGTTTCAGGGGTTCAGCCAGCTTCCATGGTGCCAGGAAATCCACAAGACTGTGAAATTCTATTGTGCCTGTCCCCCCCTTTGGTCAAGATTCTTCGGTGGGATATTTGATCAGAATGGTCAATACCCACAGCCCAGCACCACCCAGTCTGGGTCTGGTCGGCCACTTCTTCATCCTGTCTTTATGGCCATCTTGTCCCTGAAGGAGGTGAGACCTACCGAGGCCTCCGACTTCCCCCAGGAGACAAACCCAGGTGGGGGTGGGCTCTGGATGGCAGATCTACCACCTCCTGCAGGTGCCCATCCTTGCATCTCCAGATTGGCTAGCCTCTGAGTCAGTTTCCACAAGCCCACGTGCTGCTTCCTTCCTTGTTTCCAATGCTCACCAACACTAACCATCTTCAGATTTACCCGAGTGTGTGCCCCAGACACAGTGCCCCAGAACTGCTCCCT